TTACAATTTGGAGGCTTTAAGTCCAAGTTCAAAGTGCCAGACTCTAGGGGCTGGGTGAAAGCCCCTCAACCTTGGGGTCCAGCTCTGCCTCCTGCTCCCGGCCCACTGGAACTAGAGGCATTTCTTCATGCAGACAGCTGTTGGCTGCTGAGGCTGAGAAGCCCCAAGGTTGACAAGTAAAAAGGCACAGTCCCGATATTACCAATCCACATGGCAGGCCATTAACTTAAGTCCACTGTAAAGTCTCAAGGTCAGCAGAGCATAGCCAGCTGCTCAGCAATGACACGGCTATATGCAGGGTCCAAGTGTGCCAATGGCTAGAGACCATTCTCAAAGCTTCTCTTTATATACGAGAAGCAGACCTCATCCCAAAGCAGCTACTCAGCTGCTTGTAGTAGATCCCACCATGGAGGTGATTGCCAGTCTCATCATGGGGAATACTACCACCAGCTGCCCAGCCACTCAACCAGGCCCATCCAAGTTTACACACAAACATAACTACCACATTATCAAACAAAAGTTAAGTGTCAATGTGACAGGTCTATTCTACATGTGATGAGAGAATAATTTTGACACGAGCTTTGCCCTTATGAAGATTATATTTTACGATTCTGCCCTATGTTGACAGTCTTCTGTTTGTCCCATTTAAAGTATTGCCTTCTGACATGCAGCTGTACTCCAAATCCCACTTCTCTGGCCATGGTGAACTCACTTCAGTCTTCCAAGCTCTTTCAAATACCATTTGCATTTGAGTGGGAAAAATCACCAGAACCTTAGGTTCTTGATCTGACAACCAAACTAAGTTACCTAGAATACAAATAGCACTGGTAGCTGGGTTCCAATGCCTCTGTCTTTGTGAATTTAGCCAGAACATGAACCTAAAGTCTAGAACTCTATTTGCTCTCCTGGGTAAGGATATATGAAAGTGCAAGACTAATGGCAGCTCTGAATGACCTGCCTTTGATCATTTTCTTCTTCTTAACTTTATCACTGTAAGGAGAGGAAGTAAAAGTTTTTAAGAAATTAGATTAAGGGAGAAAGCTCACCACCTTCTGGTAAGCCTGGAGTAAAGGTACCACAAAGCCCCTTCATGTCTTCATTTCTCTAGTCACCTTGGCCTGCTAAGTTTTGGAGCATTTCCTAAATAGTAGGTGACATGTAATGCTACCAGCTATAGTAAGCAGGGAGACCTTATTTATGGAAATAAATAATCCGTTTAGTGATTCAAGAGACCAAAGAGGATAGTTAAAAGGTAGGTGAGTGATGAATAGTTCTAAGAGTGCGTTCTCTTTTTGATTCCTCCACCAATCCTTTTACTCTGGAAGGTGATGGTCTTGAGCTATGTTAGTGTCCCTGTCCTCCTCTGTTAGGCTACCTAGAGAGCTCTCTGGAGCTCAGGATATATGAACCAGAAACTGGCTGGCCTTCAACAAACTGAGTATTTATATCCAAGTCAGAGTATCCTCCCTCAAAGTGGTCAGCTTGAAAACCTGCAACACATACTTCAGTGGTCTTGGCCATTTTCCAGGAATATTTTTCATATTCAATTAGAATTGCCCATCAGAATTATACATGAGTTATTTTTTGGTATTTAGTGATAGCAAGTATTCACATTTTCAGAGTATATTTGTTTTTTCACAAAACCAGAAATCATTGAGAATGTAATTTGATGTATCAGTTGTATAGTGAGGTTGTAAATTTGGTCAGAAGACAGTTTCTAAGACAAAGGTTCAGAAATGCCTTGAGTAAAGGCTGTATTCATTTATTCGTTCAGTCAGTAAACAAATAATATTGAGCCTATACTCTGTCACAGGCATTCTAGTTGAGGAACACAAATTGAGAAATTAATAGATAAAGCAAATGATAAATAATATCAAGAAATGAGAGATGCTGTGAAGATTAATAAAGCAAGGAAGGGGAGGTAGAGAATGGAGACAACTGGAAGAGCGGTGGTGGGGCTGTTCTAGAGAGGGTACAAGGAAGTCTTCTCTGAAAAAGTGACATTTGGGCATAGAGCTGTGTGAAATGCAGGACAAAGCCATGTCACGTGTTCTAGGCATTGGAAGCTGTGAGTGTAAAGACTCTGAGGTAAGAACAAACTTGGTGGGTTTCAGAAATGATAAAGGGCCCAGTGTGGGAGAAGTGGAATAGCTGAGAGGATAAATGACAGGAAATTAAATTAGAGATGTAGGCCCTTATTCTGAGGACGATGGGAAGGAACTGGGATTTTGAGCCCTTTTGGAGTAAGTGCTTTGTGGTTCAGTAGTAAAATTCTTGCCTTCCAAGTAGGGGACATGGGTTCAAGTTTTGGCCAGTGCACGTCATATGCAAACAACTACTCTCTGTCAGTAGAGGCTTACGTTTTGTTATGATGTTGAACAGGTTTCAGCAGAGTTTCCAGACTGAGACAGAGTAGGAAGAAAGGCCTGGCAATCTACTTCTGAAAATCCACCAGTGAATACCCTATGAATCACAGTGGTCCAATCCATAATCATTCTTGAGGATGGAGTAGGACTCTGAAGCATTTTGTTCCATTTTGTGTGGATTTATCATAAGTCAGAGGCTGACTTGGTGGCAGTAACAACAGCAATTGTTGATGGACTTTTGAGTAGTTTGTAGTTTGTAGATATTATGAACAGCGCTGCTGTGGACATTCTCATTTATGTAACTTAGGCACGTATATATGAATTTGTCACAGCATACACCCAGAAGTGGAATTGTTGAATCTCACGTTTAAAGTATAATTTGTACTTTAACAGTAACTCAGATTTCCTTTGTTAAGCAGTCAGTGTTAGGGGGGTGAGGTTTAGAAATAAATACATTCTCTTGTATCTACATAGAATATCATTGAGGAATACTAAGAAAACATTGGCAGTTTCTTGGGGTGATAGGTAGGGAAGCTGCAGGCAAGTCAGGAAGAGGAGTAGCACTTTATTACTCTACTGTTTTTAGTGTTTGAATTTTCATCACAGGCCTGTATTTTTAGAAACCTGTTTATTACTAAATCACATATATGTGTGTGTAAGATTTGATTTTTACAAAAGCATTGTAGCTGTTGTGCTGATGAAAACACAAAGGCATGTTTAAGCTAATTCTTTTGAGATATCTTGATAAATGTTTAGAGGCTGCTTCGCATTTGTGTTTCTGTGAAATCCAAATATTCATACTTGAGTGCTTTTAGTTGAAATGTGCTTCTGTTTTTATAGATAACAGTTCATTTTTGTATTTCAAGCATTTTTTGTTCATTTCCCTAGGCAACAGAAATAGACACCAAAATCAAAGTGTGTACCCGAGCCTACCATCTACTTGTAAACAAACTGGACTTTAATCCATATGACATCATCTTTGACCCCAATATCCTCACCATTGGTACTGGGATGGAAGAACACAACTTGTATGCTATTAATTTTATCCATGCAACAAAAGTCATTAAAGTAAGTTTGGGTATTGTCTCTATCCTATCCAACACATTACCTTAGTTTATTTCATGGTTCCAGTGACTAGTTGAAGTTAATGTACATATTCATGGGTGGGGAATGTTGATATTCTTGTTTTTAGGTAGTAAATTGTTTTTCTGAAATCTAGAGCCCTTTATATTTGTTTATTTTTTTATATAGTGTTATTTTAAATTGTGAAATATAACACACATTCTGGGGTATACAGTAAACATAGTCTAGTAAATAATTGATTATGAAGCATAATAGCTTTCACCTGTTGTTAGGTGCCTTCAAATTATTTCCTACCCATACCAACCCTATGTACGGCAGAACGAAACACTGCCCGGTCTTGTGCCAGCCCCATAATCCTTGTTATACCTGTGCCCATTGTTGCAGCCACTGTGTCCATCTCCTTGAGGGCCTTCCCCTTTTTCATTGACCCTCCACTTTACCAAGCATGATATCCTTTTCCAGGGAACAGTCCCTTCTTACAATATCACCAAAGTAGGTGAGATGAAATCTGGCCATTCTTGTGTCCAAAGAGCATTCTGGCTGCACTTCTTCCAGGACAGATTTATTAGTTCTTTTAGCACTCCATGGTTTTTAAAGCATTCTTCACCAGCACTACAACTCAAAAGCATCAACTCTTCTGTCTTCCTTATTCATTGTCTAGCTCTCACATGAATACGTTGTTGTTGTTGTTATGTGCCGTCGAGTCGGCCCCGACTCATAGCGACCCCTCCTTGGGTTTCTGAGGCAGTATCACTATGGAAGTAGATTGCCCCATCTTCCTTCCGCACATGAATATGAGGCTACTGAAAATACCATGGCCTGGGTTAGGTGCACCTTACTTTTCAAGGAGACATCTTTGCTTTTCAGTACATAAGAGGTCTTTTGCAGCAGATTTGCCCAATGCAATACATTGTCTGATATTTTGACTGCTGCTTCCATTGGTGTTGATTGTAGAAATAAGTAATATGAAATCTTTGACAACTTGAGTCTTGACAACTTGAGTCATTTCTCCATTTACTGTGATGGTGCTTATTGGTCCAGTTGAGAGGATTTTTGTTTTCTTTATATTGAGGTATAATCCATACTGCAGACTATAATCTTCATCAGTAAGTGCTTCAAGTCATCCTCACTGTCAGCAAGCAGAGTTGTGTCGTCAGCATTGTCTCAGGTTGTTAATGAGCCTTCCTCCGATCCTGATGCCATATTCTTTTTTCATATAGTCCAGCTTCTTGGATTATTTGCTCAGCATACAGATTGAATAAGTATGATGAAAGGATACAGCCCTGACACACTCCCTTCTTGATTTTTAAACCATGCAGTGTCCCCTTGTTCTGTTCGAATGACAGCTTCCTGGTCTATGTACAGATTCCTCATGAGCACAATTAGGTGTTCTGAAATTCCCATTCTTCTCAATGTTATCCATAATTTGTTATGATCCACACAGTTGAATGCTGTGGCATAATTAATAAAACACAAGTAAACACCTTTCTGGTATTCTTTGCTTTCAGCCAAGATCCTCTGACGTCAGCAATGATATCTCTCATTCCATGTCCTCTTCTGAATCCTGGTTGCATTTCTGGAAGTCCTCTGTCAATATATTGCTGCAACCATTCTTGAATTATCTTCAGTGAGATTTTACTTGCTTGTGATATTAATGATATTACTCCTTAATTTCCACATTTTGTGAGATCACCTTTCTTTGGAATGGGTACAAATACGGATCTCTTCCAGTCAGTTGGCCAGGTAACTGTTCTCCAAGTCTCGTCATAGCTGAGTGAGCGCCTTCAGTGCGGCATCCATTTGTTGAAACATCTCAATGGATATTCCGTCAATTCCTGGAGGCTTGTTTTTCACCACTTTTTCAGTGCAGCTTTGACTTCTTCCTTCAGTACTGTTGGTTCTTGATCATTATGCCACCTCTTGACATGGATGAACATCGACTAGTTCTTTTTGGTTCAGTGACTCTGTTCCTTCCATCTTCTCTTGATGTTTCCTGCATCATTCAATATATTGCCTATAGAATCTTTCAGTATTGCAACCTGAGGCTTGAATTTTTTCTTAAGTTCTTTCAGCTTGGGAAATACTGAATGTATCCTTCTCTTTTGGCTTTCCAACTCCATCTCTATGTCTTTGCACATTTCATTATAATAATTGACTTTATCATCTCGAGCTGCTCTTTGAAATCTTCTTTTCAGCTCTTTTATCTTGTCATTTCTTCCATTTGCTTTAGCCAGTCTTTGTTCAAGGGCAAGTTTCAAAGTCTCTTATGACATCCCTTATGATCTTTTCTTCCTTTCCTATCTTTTTAATGACCTTTTGCTTTCATCATGGGTGATGTTCTTGATGTCATCCCACAATTCATCTGGTTTTTAGTCATTGGTGTTCAATGCATCAAATCTGTTCTTCAGATGGGGTCTAAATTCAGGAGAGATACATTCAAGGTCATATTTTGGCTCTCATTGAATTGTTTTAATTGTCTTCAACCTCAGCTTGAACTTGCATATGAGCAGTTGATGGTCTGTTCTGCCATCAGCTCCTGGTCTTGTTTTAGCTGAAGATACTGAGCTTCTCTACAGATGTAGTCAGTCTGAATCCTGTATACTACATCTGGCTAAGTCCATGTGTAAGCCGCCATTTGTGTTGTTGAAAAAGGTATTTGCAATGAGTAAGTCGTTGGTCTTGCAAAATTCTGTCATTTAATCTTTAGCATTATTTCTTTGTCCAAGGCTAAATTTTCCAAGTACTGGTGCTTCTTCTTTGTTTCCACCTTTTGCATTCCAATTGCCAGTGATGATCAGCACATCTTGAATGCATGTTTGGTCAATTTGAGACTGCAGAAGTTGGTAAAAATCTTCAATTTCCTCATCTTTGGCTTTGGTGGTTGGTGCATAAATTTGATTAATAGCAGTATTAACTGGACTTCCTTGTAAGGTATAGATATTATCCTATCACTGACAGCATTGTACAGGATAGATTGAAACATGCTTTGTGAGGATGAATGCCACAACATTCCTCTTCAATTTCTCATTCCCAGTGTAGTAGATCATACAGTTATCTGATTCAAAATAGCCGAAACTGGTGCATTTTAGCTCACTGATCCCTGAGATACCTATCTTTATGCATTCCATTTCACTTTTGACAGTTTCTAATTTTACTAGATTCATCCTTTATGCATTCCATGTTCTGATTATTAATGGATGTTTGAAGCTGTTTCTTCCCATTTTGAGTCGTGCCACATCAGTAAATGGAGGTCCCAAAGCTCTACTTTATCCATATCATTAAGGTCGGCTCTTTCCCAGTAGTATTTTGAGTGCCTTCCAGCCTGAGGGGTTCATCTTCCAGCACTGTATCGGACAATGTTTCAGGGCTACACACTTCCTGGCCTTCCCCCTACTTGTTGTGGCCATCCACCAGCTCCGCTTCCTGCCTGGGGCTCTCCCCTTATCTGTTTGGCTGTGGAACTTTAGCTTTCACCTAAGGTCCCAAAATAGAATATGGCTAGCTCCACCATAATATTTCTCCCTTTCTGATTATACCCTCATGTGGAACTTTATGAAGTAGCCACTATCCTGAGTTTTATGATATCACTTTGTTGTTTTTCTTTATAATTTTATCATTCACATGTATATCTAAACAATAAAATTTGGTGTTGCCTATTTTTGAACGTAATATAAATAGAATCATAAGATTCTTATACGCCTTTTTTATTCCCCTGACTCAACCTCATTTTAAGGTTAATCTGTGTTGCTTGTAGCTATAGTTTATTCATTTTTATTAATGTATAACATTCTATCATGTAGTTATCCCATAATTAGTCATTCTGCTATTCAGGGACATTTGAGTTGTTTCCAATTTGGGGACATTATGAACAATGCTCCTATGAATGTTCTTATATATTTATTTAGGGTACTTTTATATGAGTTTTTCTGCAGCTTATACTCAGAAGTGGAATTGTTGGGTCCCACTATTAAATGACATCAAACTGTCTCCCCAAATGCGTAAGTCAATTTGCACTTTAGACAGCAGTAACTGAGTTCCTATTATTCCACATGCATGCTAATACTTGATATTATCATAAAGTATCTTAAGAGCTTCATTATCTACCTATCTTTATCTCTAACTCTATCGTCTCTGTCATTTATCCAGCAAATATTTTTTTCTTTATGGAGTGCTCATTATGCATTAAGTATTAAGGAGTTCTGTATTATGTATTACGTATTACGTATTATGTATTAAGGAGCTCTGGTGGTGCAGTGCCTAAGGCATTTGATTGCTAACCAAAAGGTTGGTAGGTCAAACCCATCAGCCACTCCACAGAAGAAAGAATGTACAGTCTACTTCCATAAAGATTTACTGCCTTGGAAACCGAGTGGGGGTTGCTATGAGTTGGAATTGACTAGATGGCAGTGGGTTTGGTTTTCATTATGCATTGGGCCTATCATGGTTGTTACAGAGATGTTCAGAGATAGTGTCACTCATTCATTGCCATTGAGTTGATTCCAACTCATAGCAACCACACAAGGCTGTAAGTCTTTACAGAAGTAGATTGCCCAGTTTTCCTTCCGCGGAGTGGGTGGTGGGTTTGAACTGCCAATGCACTGGTTAGCAGTCAAATGCCTTTGGCACTGTGCCGCCAGAGTTCCAGAGATATAGTAGGATTTTGTATTCGCCCTTAGGGAGATTTGAGTTTAGAAGGGAAAACTATGAAGCTATGCCTTGTGATGCCGTAATGTGTCAGATTTTGGTCTGGCAGCAAAACAAAACAAAAAACCTCTGAATTACTGTTAAATTATGCTCTGTACTGTATATTCTTACATATAACATTTAAGAGAAGTAACTACTGCTTTGGGTAAAATGGGAATCTTTTCACATTTTAAAACTTTTGTCAGGAAACATTACCTGGAGCCAAAATAAGTGGAGGTCTTTCCAACTTGTCATTCTCATTTCGCGGGATGGAAACCATTCGAGAAGCAATGCATGGAGTTTTCCTTTACCATGCAATCAAGGTATGGGAGAAAACTATTTGACTGTCCTATCAGCTTTGATTTAGGGCAGGGGTTGGCTGACTTCAGCCCACAGGCCAAATCTAACCTGCTGCCTAACCCCCTGCCATAGAGTCAATTCCAATTCATAGTGACCCTTGTTGGGTTTCCAAGGCTGTAAATCTTCGCAGAAGTAGATTGCCTCATCTTCCTCCCACGGAGTGGGTGTTGGATTTGAACTGCCAACCTTGGGGTTAACAACCAAATGTCTTACCTATATACCACCAGAGGTCTTTAGCCTGCTGCCAGTTTCTGTAAATAAAGTTTAATTGATGGTACAATGGTTAAAATGCTCATCTGCTAACCAGAAGGTCAGCAGTTCAAAGCCACCAGCCAATCTGCTGGAGAAAGATGCAGCATTCTACTTCTGTAAAGAGTATAGCCTTGGAATTCTATGAGACAGTTCAACTCAATGGCAACTAGTTTTTGTTGTTGTTCATTTACATATACAGGCAATCCCCAGGTTACAAACAGATCAGTTCCTAAGTGTGTCTTTAAGTCAGATTTGAAGATAAGTCAGAACAGGTGCATACAGTTCTTATTTAGCCTTACTTTTGTACAAGAAAAGGCTTGAAGCCTTTTCAGTGATCTAAAAGCTGCACAAGTAGCAAGTGAAAGTGATTGTCGTGAAGAATTTTTGAGGAGTAGGGATTGGCTTGAGGAGCTCTGGTGGCACAGTGGTTAAAGCATTGGGCTGCTAACCAAAAGATTGGCAGTTTAAAACCACCAGATAAAGATATGGCAGTCTACTTCCATAAAGATTTAAGCCTTGGAAACCCAATGGGGTAGTTCTAGTCTGCCTTAAAGGGTCACTGAGTTGGAATCACTGGCAGTAGATTTGTTTGTATAGGGGTTTGGTCAGTCGTTTCAAAGTGAGGGCACATTTATGTAATATTAAATAGCTAGTGCAAGTTGTCTCTAAGTTGGACGTTCATAACCCAGGGGGACTGTAGTCCATGGCTGCATTCATGCTACAATAGCAAAGTTGAGTAGTTGAAATAAAGATCGTATGACTTGAAATATTTTCTATCTGGCTTTTTACAGAAAATAATTGCTGACTACTGATTGAGAATCTGACTGTGAAAGTCCTTGTTTTTCTTTCTGTTACTTTCAGTTTGGTATGGACATGGGGATAGTGAATGCTGGAAACCTTCCTGTATATGATGATATCCATAAGGAACTTCTCCAGCTCTGTGAAGATCTCATCTGGAATAAAGATCCTGAGGCCACCGAGAAGCTGTTACATTATGCCCAGGTTGTAAGAAAAATGTTCACTGGTTGGCTTTTTCCTGTCTTTGAGTTTATCACTCATGGTTAATAGACCGTCTGTATAGAGAAGCCCATATCTAATCATATGTTTGATCATTGAGGTTTTCTACATAGAGTTCAAGAGAAGGTATTTAGTTAGGGCAAAGAGGGAGAAATAGGTCATGCCTAGGCTGGTATAGTGCTTTGAATTTATTTTTTCTTTAAATTCATTTTAAAATAAAAAAGTATAAAATGTTTCTCATATCAAAGTAACATACATTGTTTAAAGATATACTGGGAACATCTTCCTGTTTTATTAGATACTTTTCTTCTTCATTTAAAATGACTTTTGTATTTTCTTATGGAACTGCATTATTATTAGCTATTCTCCATTGTTATATATTTAGGTTTGTATACCTACTTATATTAAGATCTGGTCCATTTAAGGCAATGTTCTACATTTCAAGGCTTGAAAATACACTTTTGGTCTTTAAAAATTAGAATAGTTATAGTTAATGCAAGAATCAGTTCCTATTTCCCTCAAGGGGCACAGTGGTAGGAACATTAAACATGTATCATGGGTACTGCTCCTAGAATTCAGATTAAGGAAACATGAGAGCTTTACCTCAAAAAAAAAAAAAAACCCTTACATTTTAATTAGCTTAAGAGAGTGATGACAAAGGAAGGTACTTTTCTAACAAAGCATGTTGGAGAAGTAGATGCTTTTGTAAATAGCAACTTTATAAAAGTTTTTCATGTTGAAACCTGAATTTAACTCTGGCAGAAATGCTAACTTTTTCTCTTACCCTTAAACCAAACCAAAGGATGATACCACCTAAGGGTAATAAAATGTTCTGGAAGGATAAGACAATGTAGGATTAACTGCAAACTTGATTTATCAGCTTTATTAGTAGCTGAATGTAGATGTCTGAAACTGCTAATGGGAGCAAAGGTGACTTGAGTTCATACTCTGTCCCAGTGAGCACCTGACCTTTATCTGAGTTTCTTTAAAAACATTTCTAATTTTTCAGATTGAGCTAGGACAGAAATACACATCAAGTTCTGCTTCTCAGATCATTGCATGCAACATAATTCTTGGAAATTTCCTTTCCTGTTTCTGCTCATGTAGAAAAAGCTCTTATCCTTTTCTTATTCTTCAAGCATAAAGAACATACAAAGGCTGTCCTTAGACTTTGAATGTTAAACACCATTCAGTTTTTAGTAACGGGCTGTCTTCCATCTTATAAGAGCTCTTCATTAATGACTGACAGAGGTAGAGTTTAGTTGAAGGCCTAAAGGATGTCATAGCTCCTCTAATCATAACTTAGGCTAAAGAGCTGCTAGTTAACCCTTAAAATGATTTGCTGTTTCCTTTCCTCTCACCTGTCCAGATGTGGCAGTTCTCTCACTAGGACAGATAGTCTCCTTATTTATAAGAACACTAACATGTAAGCTTTTGTTGGCAATGTGTTTTGTGGCTTCTTGTTGTTGTTATGTGCTGTCAAGTTGCACCTGACTTACAGCGACCCCTTCTTGGGTTTCTGAGGCAGTATCACTACGGAAGTAGATTGCCCAGCCTTCCTTCTGAGGAGTGGCTGGTGGGTTTGAACCACTAGCCTTCTAGTTAGCAGTCTAGTGCCTTAGGCACTTTGCTGTTCCCTGTTTTGTGGCAGTCATTCTTTTTGTTCTGTGTTAATTTTTTTTGCATTTGTTTACAGGTTTTTTATATATATAGATATTAAATTGAGCTGAGCTCCCAAGAGGTATTGCCTCTGGAGGCACAGCCAAGTTGAGAGAAATCTTAGTAGCGATTCCAAGAGCTTAACAATCCATCATAAAGAAATTGCTTCTCCCTTAATGTAAGTAATCACAAGGAATTTTTTATAAGCCATTGACTCTTCTGTGAAGTAAGGCTAAATATCTGCATTCAAAATGACTTCCCTTACCATTCAGGGAATTAAAAAACAAAACAGTTTTACTTTAATAACCCCCAGGAGCCACCAGCTTGGTAACAATTCCTCAGGAGACAAAGGATTGCAAATGACGTGTGAAAAGAGGAATATTATGGGGCAGATGACAGTTGAGAAGTTTTATGTTTTTCCTTTATAAGAAAATAATTTTCTCTTCTTATTATTAAGTAACAAAGTCTGCAGCCAGGTTCCTTTCTGATATATTACTGAAAAGAGTAGAAGTCTTGTCTCTTATTGTCTTAGGATCTTTATTTCTATATTTGGAAATAATGGACTTAATTGCAAAATAATTCTCTTAATTTGGTATAGATTCTCCTGTGGTGAGTAAATTATTTTTGGTAATAAAATGTTCTAGGTGTCATGGGACCACGTAATAATTCACATTTAGCTTCTTTATTATGAAGAATCCTAATGGAAGTCATGCCTCCTTTAGACTAGAAAGATCTTTGCTCAGAATAGCATGGCTCTTGAATGACCCCAGTGGCTGGGATATTCTTGTCTGTCTGTCTGTCTATTTTGTTGTGAAAATGTACACACCAAAACATCTGCCAATACAAAAACTTCCTCATTTACAACTCACTGATACTGATTACATTGTCACTGGTATAACCATTCTCACTGTGGGAGGTGCTAAATAAATGGGCAAATGTGAATGCCCAGAGGTGACAGAGGTGATGGAGATTGTAAGAACTGAAACGTTCAAGATGATTGAAGCCTGTTGGAAATAGAAAAAGATGAAGCTATATGAGAAAGTCACACCAGGGCACTGGTAAGGCCTATACACTGATTAAGGTACTATACATTGAGAGTGGGAACTTCTAAAGGGCTTTTTCATAGGGGAATGATCTGATCCAATTTGCATTTTGGAAAGCCCACTCTGGCAACAGTGATTCTGGAGTTGTAGAGGCCAATTAGTTGATTGGACTATGAGAGTAGAAGTGGGAATGGAGAGAAGATAGATTGAGGAGGTATAATCACTAGGATTAGGTGATTACTTGAATTTGAGGAATGAATGAAGATTCAAGGATGATACCTAGGTTTCTGGTTTGGGCTGTTGGTGCCACCGATTGAATGGGGAAACAGGTAGGATAATGCAGTGTACCACATGTACCATGATCATTGCCATTTCTGTCCCTTTGCTGAACCTGTTGTTTCTCAAGAGCCACCTCCTCTGTAGCTTTTCATCACCACCCCAGTTTATGGTAACTGCTCTTTCCTCAAAATTCTGTAGTTTGTATCACCCACTTACTCAGCCCTTGGAACATGCTTTCTCTCAGAGATTACCTTCCTTTGTGCATTTCCCATAAAGTCTTCGAGAGCATAGACTGTGTCTTAAGTGTGCCAACCTTCAGAATGGTGTCTGATTTAGCTTTAATGCAGCCTCCCAACACATTTGTGGATAATGGTGATCCTAATTGAGAGCTTAAAAAGCTCATCAGGTTTGGGGTGTAGCTTTTTTACCACCTGGAAATATTTTGTCCTAAGTTCTTTTAGGAAGGAGGAAAGAAAAAATAGAACCTCATCTGTCTTGCTATAAAAAGTTTAAATCTAAACGATTTCTCTTTTCTTCCCTTGAACATTTATTGAGATCTTAATTGATACTAGGCACTTTACTCAGGGCTGGTAACATAAAAAAATTAAAACACAATTTTTGCTGCCAAATACTTTAGTCAAATGACCTGTTGTACTCTTTTCTCTGTCCTAATTTCAATTCAGACTCATGGAAAAGGAGGGAAAAAAGTTACTCAGACAGATGAATGGAGGAACAACCCCATTGAAGAACGCCTTGAGTATGCTCTTGTCAAGGTGAGTCATGGGAACACAGTATGAACTGGAGATGCTGGGCTCATCACGCATGTCTGATGCTGGTGTTAGAGAAGGAGACGCCATAGACTGTGGTTCCTGACTGGAGTAGTGATTTTGGCCCCAGGGTAATTTGGTAATGTTTAGAGATACTATTTAAGTTTTTATTTCTTGGACCATTTGAGATTCACATATTTCACTTTGTTGAACTAGTCAGCCACATCCAAGGATCATGTAACTGGGGACTCAGAAAAGTATGGCTTGATTAGTGAAGGCTGACATGTCAGTGGAGGGTTCATGGATTTTAGCCTTTCAAAAAAAGCTTGCCCATTGTCGTTACTCCTCCATCCCTTTAACATCACAGTGAGAAAACATACTGACTTCACAAAAAAATATTTATTAATGTATTGTCTATTAAACTACTAGGATATAAAGTATATTTTATTACGAATTTGAACTTATGAGTACTTCCTCTTGGTAATAGCTCACTTTTACTGAGTATTTTACTCACTTAAGCCAGCTAAGCACTTTTCATGGATTATTTCATTTAATCTTCAAAATAATTATATGAGGTAGTTAAAAAAAACAAATTCACTGCCCTCAAGTCGAGTCCGACTCACAGCAAACCCCTCCTTGGGTTTCTGAGGTGGTGTCACTATTAAAGTAGATTGCCCAACCTTCCTACTGTTGTGATATTTTTAAAGAGGAAGCCAACACTTAATAAATTGCCTAAGTTAGCACTGTTGTTGTTGTTGTTATGTGCTGTCGAGTCGGACCCGACTCATAGCGACCCCTTCCTCGGTTTCTGAGGCAGTATCACTATGGAAGTAGATTGCCCCATCTTCCTTCCGAGGAGTGGCTGTTGGGTTTGAACCACCAGCCTTCTGGTTAGCAGTCAAGTGCCTTAGCCACTATGCTACCAGAGCTCTCAAGTTAGCACTAGGAGGCAAGATTTTAACCCATGCATTCTGATTCCAGAACCTGCACTCATTAACAATTTTATAATTCATTCTTTGTTGGCTGGTTGGACTTAAGCCAATTTTTTATGTACTTTTTATGTGTTTTTTCCTTTGTTTGTTTTTGGTAGGGCATTGAAAAACATATTATTGAAGATACTGAGGAAGCCAGGTTAAATGAAGAAAAATATCCTCGACCTTTACATATAATTGAAGGGCCCCTGATGAATGGCATGAAAGTTGTTGGTGATCTTTTTGGAGCTGGAAAAATGTTTCTACCTCAGGTTGGCAAAAAAGAAAAAAAAAAAGGGAAGAAATTTTCACAGCTGTTTTTTTTCCATGTCGTTTAATAAATACCAAGTTTGGGTGTATTTCTTGGGTTTTAATTTGCATAAGATTTTCAGTGTTGAGATCTGGTTATTCTTTCTCTACATGTATTTAGGAGTACTAGTAATATTTGGAAAAATCCATGTTTGGGTGGTGTGGAGGTTAGGATTATACCTGAAAGTTCTTAGCATCCTAATCTTTATGTTTTAATTTCTTGTACCACCTCTTACCCTCAATGCCTATCTCTTTTCCCCTGTAAAAAAAAGAAAACCCAAGATAAATACATGTAAAGTTAATAGTATTAAGATTTTATTTGAGTAGCTAGTGTTCGTCTTTAAGGACGCATATTTTGAAAAAAAATTATTTCTAATAGTGATCCATTAAATCATGTGCTTCAAATAAAACCAGAACTCTTATTTTGAGTTACAGTAGCTACTAATCACATCTGTTAACAAATGCTTGTTGAGCACGTAGTTTGGGGCTGTGACACATACAAAGAGCTAAAGGGTTCTGTTTTTGCTTATGAATAACGATTGTAAGTCATATACCGGGTATTTAGAAGAGAAGACGGGGACTGGGTCCGTGGCAGACAAGATTGAAATTTGGAGGATGTATGGAACTTGGAGATGTGATAGAGGACATTCTAGGTGAGGAAAAATAATGGGCGAGAATTTGGAGGACAGAAATTGTACACTTTTGATTTCTAGTCTGGTTGTCCTTCTGTTTGTATTTCATTCATTGGCCTTCCAAACAGGGACCTTATTTCTTATCTGGCCAACACTCATGAGTGGTGCCCACTTTAGCTTAGCCTGAGGAGGAGAGCTTTCATTCTTAGTTTTTGCTAAAATTTCACAAGTGGCCATTAACAGCAATGCAGGTGATTTGCTGCTACTGTTGTTGTTGTTATGTGCCATCAGGTTGATTCTGATTCATAGTGACTCTGTGTACAAAGAGTCTCTCTCTTTTTGGCTGCCTACTCCTTTACCAAGCATGATGTCCTTCTCCAGGGACTGGTCCCTCCTGATAACATGTCCAAAGTACCATGAGGCCAAGTCTTGCCATCCTTGCTTCCAAGGAGCATTATGGCTGTACTTCTTCCAAGACAGATTTGTTTGTTATGCTAGCAGTCCATGGTATATTCAGTATTCTTAACCAGCACCATAACTCAAAGGCATCAGTTCTTCTTCAGTCTTCTTATTTATTGACCAGCTTTCTTCGCATGCATGTGAGGCAATTGAAAATGCCATGGTTTGAGTCAGGTGCACCATTGTTCTCAAAATGATATCTTTGCTTTGTAACACATTAAAGAGATATTTTGTAGCAGGTTTGCACAATGCAATATTTCATTTGATTTCTTCACTGCTGCTTCCATCCATAGGCATTGATTCTGGATCCAAGTAAAATGAAATCCTTGACAACTTCAGTATTTTCTCTGTTTACCATGATGTTGCTTATTGCTCCAGTTGTGAGGACTTTTGTTTTTAGCTTCCAGACTAAGACTGACTAGGAGGAAGGTGAGTTGTTGAAGGTGCCTAACTCTTTGTGTTTTCTCAGGTTATAAAGTCAGCTCGGGTCATGAAGAAAGCCGTTGGCCACCTTATTCCCTTCATGGAAAAAGAAAGAGAAGAAACTAGAGCCCTCACTGGAGCAGTAGAAGAAGAGGCAAGTTGTTTTATCCAGGCCTGAGGGCCATTTAAGGAGTTGGCCTGAATGACTCTTACTGGAGAGGTATTTAAGTGATAGGGCTTACCTGCAGTTGTCATTAAAAATGAACTGGAGAAATGAGCCAGCAACTGTGTTTTCTTTTATCAATTATAAGAATACCCCAGGATATTCTTTTGAATGTGGCTTTATAAAATCCTCAGTTTTTCAATCAAGGGCCATGATTTCAAAACAAAACCAGTTTCTTCATTCATTCATCTGTTGACCATTAACAGAGCTCCTACTGTATGCCAGATCAAACGCAGTTACAAAGATGAATATAATTCAGTCTCTGCCCTTGAAGTAATAGAGTGATGTTTGTTTTTTGAAAACTCTTAACTGAATATTTCTGCTTATTTGTAATGTCCTTGGCACCACTTCCAGATTCAGTTTAATTCTTGTTGGCTGCACCATCATAGTAAATTGTTAAGGTTTTTGACCTTGTTTAGCTCTTTGTGAAGCTCACTCAGCTCCTACCCTTCAGATTCTTAATTCTTAATTGATTGGAGTTTGTGAAAGGCACAGACAGAGGTAAAGTTCATAAACATCCCACTTGCCTTTTTTTTTTTTTTTGAATGCTGACATTGTGTTGAACTACAGTGTTAAAGATATAGGAAGATAATTAAATGTCCCTCTGCACTGGGCTACGATGGTTATTTTTCAGATTCTGATGGGACATGTCCAGTTAACTAACTAACTCCTCACTCTCCCTTTGCCCTATTTATTGCTTCTAACTATAAACATGTTTCAGGTTTGGGGGGTTACGGCTATGTTCTTCAGCTGTGAGACTTTCTGTTAATGCTTAAATTGTTCTTTGAAGTGATGAGAGCCCATGATCTTGGTTAAATGCTTTAGCCCTCTGAGCTAGCCAACTAGGTAAGCTTCCTTTGAACTATTTGGGCTTAGAGCTTTTTACTTGTAGAAAGTGATTTAAGTTCCCAATCTATCTTTAAGATTATATTGGTTGTATTAAATTGCTTTCTATGCCAACATCTGTCTGAGTTCAGAGGATTGGGTGATCTTTTCTAACATCATTACAGCAATGCTTAGCTGCTTGGCTTCCTCTCCAGGATCCTTACCAGGGAACCATTGTGTTGGCCACTGTTAAAGGTGATGTGCATGACATAGGCAAGAACATAGTTGGAGTAGTCCTTGGCTGCAATAACTTCAGGTAAGTTAAGAACTCATCTCTTTCAACCCTTTTCTATTTAATTTGAAAGTTTTAACAAGGTAATTTTTTACTGGATGGGAGCGGTAGGGTCTGGCAGTGGAAATCAGAGGTTATTTTTTTTTATTATTGTTATTACTGTTATTGCAGTATTGTATATGAATTACTGTTTATCACTGTTGCCTTTAACTCTTGTTCTCATCCCAACATCTTCCTTTCCTTGATCATTTTGTGCTCACCTCTTCCTGAATGTACATTGTATTCCCCTTCACCCTTTTAATGTGTGTCTGCCCTCAAGTCAGTGGTCTACTCTCCTCTCACTTCTACCCCTTGTTGTTGTTATGTGCCGTCGAGTCAGACCCAACTCATAGCGACCCCTCCTTGGGTTTCCATGGCAGTGTCACTACGGAAGTAGATTGCCCCATCTTCCTTCCGAGGAGTGGTTGGCGGTTTTGAGCTGCCAGCCTCCCTGGTAACCATCAGAGAATACTTCCCTGTATGTGAAAACCTTTTCTTGACTTTCTATAGGAGTAGTCTCACACAATATTTGTCCTTTTACGATTGACTAATTTCATTCAACATAATGTTCTCTAGACTCATCCATGTTACATTTTGTAGATTTATAATTTTCTTTAACAATATTGCTTATACTGTTTCATTCTATGTACCATAGCTTGTTTATCCATTCATACATTGATGGGCATTTAGGTTGTTTCTGTCTTTTTGCTATCATGAATATTGCTGTGATGAACGTGACTGGGCATACATCTGTTCATGTTACGGCTTTTATTTCTCTTAGGATATATACATATATATACCAAATGTAATGGGATTGCTAGATCATATAATATTTCTATTTCCAACTTTTTAAGAAGTGCTATACTGTTTTCCGTAATAGTTGCCCCATTTTACAGTCCCACCAGCAGTGTATGAGGATTCCAGTCTCTCCACACTCACCAGCAATTGTTGCTTTCTGGTTTTGGTGCAGTGTATTAAAGCATTGGGATGCTGACCAAAAGATTGATGGTTCAAACTCACCAGGCACTGTATGAGAAAAAGATGAGGCAGTCTACTACTGTAAAGATTTACAGCCTTGGAAACTCTGGGGCAGTTCTACGCTGTTGTGTAGCATCACTATGAGTCAGAATCAGCTTGATGGCAGTGGATTTGGTTTTTGATTTATTATTGCTAGGATGAGGTGATATGGTGTTGTTTTGATTTTCATCTCTGTGATGGTATTTCTTCATGTGTTTTTGTTGGCTTCCTGAATGTCATCTTCAGTGAAGTGTCCATTCATGGCCTCTGCCAGTTTTTAAGTTGAGTTATTTATTTGCCTTTTTGTTGAAGAGGTGTTGGAGTTTTCATTAAATTTTAGAGGTTAGCCCCTTGTCTGATTTTTTATTGGCAAAAAGTTTTCCCACTGTGAGTTCTCTTTAACTCATATAGTGAAATCTTTTGAGACACCTGAGTGTCTAATTTTTCAGGAAGTCCTAGTTATCTGTTTTGTCTTTTGGTACATTTTTAGTTACGTTTGCTAGCATATTTATGCCCTGAATTAGGGGCCATAAGTTTGTCCCAATTTTATCTTTGATGATCTTTATGGTTTTAGGCTTTACATTCAGGTCTTTGATCCAACTTGAGTTGATTTTTGTATATAGTGTCACATATGGGTCCTGTTTGATTGTTCTGCAAATGGATATCCACTTTTGTGAGCAGCATTTGTTAAAGAAACTTCTCTTCTTCATTGAGTTTGGATTGGATTTACATTGAGGTGGATGGATTTACTTCTGGGTTCTCAATTCTCTTCCATTCGTCTGTGCATCTGCCTTTGTGCCAGTAACAGGCTGCTTTAACTACTGTGGCTGTGTAGTGGTTTTGGGCTTAGGAGTTTGAGGCCTCCTACTTTGTTCTTTTTTAGTAACTCTTTATTTATCTGGGATCTCTTTCCTTTCCATATAAAGTTAGAGATTAGTTTTTCTATGTCTTTAAGGAATGATGATGGAATCTGGATTTGTATTGCATTGTATCTGTATATTGCTTTGATAATATTAACATTTTCATGATATTAAGTCTTCCTATCCATGAGTATGGTATATTCTTCCATTTATGTAGGTCTCTTGGTTTCTTACAGCAGTGTTTTGTAGTTTTCTTTGTATAGGTCTTTTGTATCTCTGGTTATATTTATTCCTAAGTACTTCATCTTTTGGATGGTTATTGTAAAGCATTAACAGGATAATTTATTGAATGGGAGAGGTAGGGTTATGGCAATGGATGTTAAAGGTTATTTTTTATTTCTTCTTTTTGCTTACCTGTGTTTCCAAATTTTCTATGGACACACCATTTCAAATGGTTAATATCTGTTTACTGTTTGTTCAATAAGGACAAAAATATATAGTAAAAGTTAATCTTAAAAAGTTTAAGTAGGCTTAAAACAACCAAGAGTCTTCTTGAGCATTGATCTTGGAGATTCAATGGCTGGTATGTGAGGTTTCTCCCACAATTAGGGGTGTTTATCACATTCCCATTTTCCTTTTAATAAACTGTCAGGCTGTGGAACTGAGATCTGTGAGACCTTGGATTTGTGAGAAGTGGGATTTTGTATGAAGGCATTATCTGTACAATTTTCTCTTTACTCTACTTAGGACTATGCATGCATGTTTCTTGGTGGTGGTCAGCCTAGTTTCTGGAATATTGTGTACAAGTAAAATTGCCTTTCAGTCTGTCTCTTTATATTGAATAAATACAAAGTTATTTCCATGTCAGAACTGGTGACCTATAGTAAGTGTGTATTTTGTTCAAATGTCAACATACTCTTTATAATGAAAAGCTAAATATAGCTTATGCTTACTCTGGTTTATGCCCTACCTAAAGTCATTTTCAGTCATGGACTTTCTTCTAATTTGAATTTTCTTTATCGAGCAGAGAGACTTGACTGGTGCTATTCGTGTGCCCCTTGAGTTCTCTTCTCCTGTGTCAAGTAACAATTACCTGTTAAGCCACCTCCTACTCCCAACATTTTTATCCATCTCTGCCTTTAAAGCTGGTTAAATGCAGTGAACCATTCAGGAAGACTGGAAGTGGAAGAGTGGCATCAGGGTAACACTGCTTTTTCTCTTATTGTATGAGAAGCACTTCTCTTTGCATGCTTACTCATTGTAAAAAGAATTAAGATCTAGAAGTGAGAAAATTACTCTTTGTAGCAATGTATTTATTATTTTTTAAAGATAAATTTGTTGGAGATGCAGTAGAAGATGTTGTGTTAGGATTTTACTTACATAAGTATTGGAGTAAGGAAAGTGTAGAGATTTCTGCTCTTGTCCCAACTTCTCAAACCTGATGTTGGATTCTGTTTGTGTTCATCCCAATTGGTTAAAATTCAGTTCCATATAATAAAAGTTTATTGGTCATCTACTACATACCAGGCATTATACTAGAGATACTAAAATGATTTAGTCAACTTTTCTGCCCTCAACAAGTTTACTATTTATCAGGCTAAATAACCAGGTACCTATTGAGTTGAGATGATAAGACAAGAACTCTGTCAAGAAAATGACTTGTATGCAACTTCCTAGAAGCAATTCTTGAGATACCATCAACATATTTTTATTATTATATATTTTTATTAATGGATAATTAGTTGCGAGGATCATACTAGCATGTCTATGTTCCTCCTTCCCCTCACCCTCCAACTATAAAGACATTCTTTTTAAAAAGTCATGAAGAATCATGATATTTCTCCAGGGTGCTACTGAAACTGAATGTGAACAGTTGTGAAAATCAGCTTTTTAAACCTGATCCTTTTCTCCAGCACATCTGTTTTACTTATCTTTTCTAATATGTTTAACTGGAGAAACATCTTCCAATGAAACTTTAATTTCTTTTTACAAAAGCATAAGTGAATATGCAAACGTTCTGTCAGAGTCAAACATGCCTTTGACTTCTGTCTTATAACACATAGACTCTTTGGCATGCATGATTTATTTCATGGTGTCAGCTAGTGACAAGTTCACTGGAGATCAAGCTTATGTAGTAATGTCTACTTCACTGAGCATGAGGACCACTTTGCTTGGGTGTATGATCCAGCTCATGAAGAATCCTGTTGCAACCTTCTTCCCCAGCTCTTTGTCATGAATGCCATAAATCTCATGAAATGATAATTTTTTTTTTCTTTATGGAGAAAAAGAAGTAAAGAGGACTAAATGTGATAGTTCTGTCTAGATAGAAAAGACATTTTTTGTGGGGGGGGGAGGTGTGGGGGAGATGATATGGTGCAGTAGAATTTTCAAATTTAAGAATTTGAACATATCTAGAGATGTATCCACCAAGAGTCTCAAGTTCAAGCTCACTGCCATCAAGTCAATTTCGACTCATAGCAACCCCCTCCTTTGGTTCCTGAGGCAGTATCTACAGAAGTAGATTGCCCAGTCTTCTGAGAAGTGGCTGGTGGGTTTGAACATCCAGCCTTCTGGTTAGCACTACTTCACCAGAACTGCTAGTACCAAGAGCCTAATACCTAACATATGTCTACCACTTCTCAGTTTATACAAGGTTGTATTTATATACCTTTTCCATTTTCTTTTTCTTTCTTTCCTTTCTTTTCTTTCATCCTTCCTTTTCATCCATGGTTTTGATTCTGCTCTGTTTGTCTCATGGTTAATATTGTATTTCTCATTTTACAGATGACAAAACCTAGCTTATGAGTTAAGTGATTTCTTCATGGGCACAGGGCTCATAAATGGCAGGCCATTTACTCAGGGCTGCTGTTATCAAATTTACCTTACTAACTTTTTTTGACTTGCAAATAACTTTAACTGTACAGTCTAATACTAATATTCTAATTAAGTTCTTCATAAGAATTTAAAAAATAATTTGGTTGTTTTAGATGATACATGGTAAAAAATAATTACAAATATTTAAAAATATTGTTGATAAAATAGTTGATTATGTAAACATAGATTCTAGATCCTCTAATAATTATATAAAATGACAAATATAGACTTTTC